TTTTATTTCTTTTATTTTTATGATAATTTCATTTATTTACCAAAAAAGATGAGAAAAAATTCAATTTACATTAAAATATTTACCCTAAGTCATCTAACTTGCACATATCCTTATCCCAATGAGGTATTATAATAACATGCCTTAATACATATATCTTTTTATAATATTATTTAAACATATATGAATCCATGATTACTATGAATTTATATTATAATAATAGCTTCACTTTATTCAGACTCTATTTGGAAAATATATATGTAACATACACTATGATAATAATGCATTACTCATAAGAAAGGAACGCTTATTGTCAAATAATCAGGGAAAGGAGTCTAAAAAAGAAAAAGTAAAAAATTATATAGAATCTGATCCCAATAATAAAAAAAGAAAAAATGAATCTGAAGTTATGCCAAAATTTACACAAATTAAAAACTGTAGTATCATAGATTTAATATTGAAAACTCTAAAAAACAAGTCTGTACAAAGAAAGGTTGAACCCTTTAGGCAAAAAGTTTTCAATTATCTAGATAAATATTATAAATATCAAGAAAATGGAAATACGCCTAGAAATACATTTAAAATGACCTTACATGCAATGTGTCATTTAAGTGTTCTTTCTTTCTTTTTTTTGATGATTTCTGGGTTATCCCATATAATATTTTTTATAGTTCTTTTTTTTTTGAGGTCTATGGAAAATAAACATTTTTTATTAATATTTTTGGCTCAAGGAATTTGTTTTATATATTTTACACAATTTATAATAATTTTATTAGAATTTATTCCTACATTCGTAAATGTTTCAAAGTATCATAGATTAAATAAAGGAAAGTAAAATGTAAGTGATAGTAATACTATTGCTTCGAAGAAACCAATATTCATAAAAATTTCATATTATTATATATAATGTTGCTCTTTTTTTTGCATATTTTTAAAATTTTTTTAATTTTGTGTAATTTTTGTTTGGTTAAGTATATATGGTTTTCCTACTATTATAAAAATTTCAATATATATTTGCTTTAAATTTATCTCATAACTATTGTATTCTTATATACTATACATACAAATTTATGTAAATGATTATTTTTATTTTATTTCTATATATAATTATAAAGTAAACTAATATATATTTTTCATTTTTAATAAACCTTAATATATTATTATCTACTTAGAAATTTTTTTTTTATAATAATTCCTTATGTAGTTAATAACTATATATATCATATGTAATATGAACTATAACTTATAGTGTAAACATTTTTAATAATTATATAATGTAATAATCTGAACCATTCTTATATTATATATATTAACAGTTATTTTATGGTATGCTTTATGAAAGCGTTTGTTTCTAATGTGTTTAGTTTATTTATATGAGACACCTCCTGTTCCTTTTTTATAAGCTATTTTATTAATGTTATTTTTATAAGCTCATTTCTTTATATTGCTCTTCCATAAGTACTAATTGAAGATTAATAATTCTATTTATATAATAATTATTTAAAAT